CCCTGTGTCCCACGCCTCTGCTAACCTAGATGCACATCTTGGCACAGCAACATTCATTACCCAGTAACCTTGACCATAGACTCCTTAACCCCAAATAAAGCCACTCAGTTACTACACAATCCATCGCTGTATCAAAGTGTCAGGCTATATGTGACACTGTAAACAAGACTGGTATGTTAAAAAAACATGGCAAGTTGACTGGATCCATTAATGAATGTGCTTTGATACGCAGAAAAGCGATAGGTGTTACCAGTGCCAACACTGCAGAGGATGCTCCAGTCTGAGCAGGAGGACGTGGAGGTTTCCAGCCGTCTGTCGACAGTTGTGCCATATGTGGTTTTCATCTGTCGTTACGGAAGTGTGCTTCTGCAGAGTATCAGTGACTTTATTGCATATATCCCCTTCAAGGTTGTCTTCGCAAATAAACACAAGCACTGGCTAAGGTACTTACTGCCCACCCTCCTTCTGCATTAAAATTAAGAGGAGGGGGGAAGTGGACAATTGTTGAGATCTGGTCCTTAGTCATTAATTTCAAATTTGTCTGTACCATATCTTGTGGCCTTGAAAACACATCCTTGTGCATTAAGTCAGCACTGCTGTCATTTTTAGGAATGGCTCAGATTGCACAAGTACTACAAAGGAAACAACAGCAAAAGCAAACACACACGTGCATTTCAGCGTCATTTTTTTTTTTCTTTTTTCTTTTTTTTAACTGATCTTTTCACTTTTCAGGAAGAGAAATGGGAATTTGTGAGTCCAATGCGCAAGACACTTCATCGTACCCTTCTCCAGACTTTTGCATTTATTAACTCCACTTCACTGCAGTTTTCTGGATCAAGAGCTAAGCTGAAGACCGTGGGGTTGGCTGTAATTCCCAAAAGGCTGTTTCATGACAAAAGACTCAACATTTTTGTTATAAACTGCTTCCAAATAACATTAAAAGCAACTCTTGGAATTTAAAATGGCTATACGTATCCATCCTAGCAAACAGTCAAGAGGTTACAGAAGATTAATGAACTTTCAGAATCCATCAGTCAGAAGCACTTTTTAACAGTTAAAGGAATGTGTCCAAATAACAGTTAATCTCAATTACAACAACTGTCTCAGGGAAAATTAACTAGTATATTTAGTCCCATTTCATGCACAAAAATTATGACTTAAAATGTGTATGTCCTGGAGTGGGGCTGACTATTAACAAGTTGAGAGTCTCTGGAGTTTCAGATCCCACTGTGAAGTCAATACCATAGCAGCAAATATTGATGTGGGTCTCAGATCTTCAAGACCTGGCACTATTAAACAAGTTCAATTACTGAAGTTAAGTCAGCATGGCGAGTCCCACATATTGGGCCTATGTACTTACACTAATGTAAGTTTTAACCATCTGGCAGTGCTCATGATGATTTACAGCCAAGGCTGAAGCTGCCAACCCCACCCCAGGCCATGGGGCTTCTCCCGTGCCCAAGAACAGGACTCGGCCCTTGCACGCAAACTCCTTCCTCCTCCCAGGGCCAAAACTTTTTCCAGTTCTGATGATTAGCATTTTGCTAGGCTGCTGTAGGCACGTGCTTGTCACAAACACTCCATAACAAAGTTTAGAAAAATTTTTGCTCTGCTGTGCCTTGTGCTGCCAGGTTAAGGCTTAACAGGCAGTTTAGTTTACTACAGTAGGATGTATGAAACAGAATTCCAAGACTTTAACGACAGTGGGACAAGACATTCCCAGACTAACTGCCCTGAAAGCGAACCAACGCACCCCAGAAACAACCCCAACAACCTCCTGTTCAGAAAAGAACCACCACAACAGGACTACAGAGATAAATATATTTGCTTTTCTTGTAAACAGAGCAGTTAGCCAGCCTGCACTTAAGAGATGTTTCAAACACGCTAATACAGGAAAAATACTTTGTATTTCTACTAGCCTGCCTTCCCTGCCACCAAAGTAACAAGGTCTTTACAACTATTGTCCCACCCCTACCTGAAAAATTCCAGTCCAGGAAATCAAGATGGACATCAAAGTGTTAATACTGAAGTGTGATTTGATTTTAATAATGCCTTTATTTTCTAAAGTGAACCATAGTTGGGGGGCATGGGTGGGAAAAAAGCTGCTTCTTTAATTACTATGTTCGAGCCAAGTTCAGAGAATTTTGGTGGATTGCTGTAATTACATTACGGACACTCTAAACCTGTATACAACTGTTTGATACAATTGGATTGTTATGATCCAAGTACAAAATCAAGTTAAAGCCTGAACACTGCATGATATAATATTTGGCACATAGGTTTAGCAACAAGCTGTAAACCTGTTATTTATACGTATTGTGGCTTCTACAAGCTGTTCACCCACCAGTATCTCCTGCTTAATCTTTAGTATTTCAGCCCTAGATAAATGCACAAGCCTAAAAGATAGAATATAACTCCACCAGACAGCCAGAATTCTCTCTAGGATATACTCCTGTACAATTCTGTGAGTTTTACTGCTGGACCATAAACAAGAAAGAAAGAAAGATGCCAAAAGTGACAGGCCAGAACTCCTGTTAGCACAGACTTTTAAAAATGCGAATCTCTTGACGCTGTTTAACGTCTGAAATGGTTCATGACTAAAGGCAACTGAGAACAAAATGCCTTCCCTTTATACAACAGAAAGGCAAATACCAACTTCAGGAATAACTGAAGTTGTCCCTCAAATATGACATATGCTATCAAAAGTTAGTATCACTGGATCACAAAAACCAATTAAGAAAAGAAAAAGAAGTCATCAGCATGTTTTTGAAAACACCTAGGCCTCTGAATCTGTGCTCAGACTAAGTTGCCAGGTTGTGGCCCACAATATTTCAGAGATGAGCAGGAGGTGGATTAGATGCATGTGGCTGCAGGGCAGTTCTAACAAGCACATACACTGCTCAACAGATACTTTCCCTTTTACTTGTGGATTTCTACAGTCACTATGAAGCTTGCATAGAGAAGATGACCCATCCCCCTGTAAAGTAACTGCTATTATTTTCCAAGAGGAATGTGTTCTGGCAAAGGAATGCTCCTTCGACCTCTGAAAACACAGAAGAGTCTCTGCTGCCTTATGACAGTTTTCATTACGCCCTTGCCCTCTGGGAGGGAGTTTGAATGTGCTGAGGTCGAGTAAGGGGATGGGTTTGAAGAAAGGTGTATTTCTAGTAAGCTGCAACATAGCCTTTTAGTTTAGAAAAGTGCCCAATTACAAAAAATACTGTCGGGAGAAAGGAACTGTGGAATACTGAAATGTTAAAGATTATCCATTCTTTACTTGTTTTAAATAAGTCCAGACTTCAAAAGGTAATATTATGAATTTACTCTATCACTGAAGGTCTTTGTTACAAAATCGGAAGACACATGAGAACATTTTTAGGTATATCTGTCCTTCCATGCAAGCTGGCAGGCAAGGACAGGGGAAGTTGAAATGATTCTGACACCTGCCTTTCCAGGGCCTTCAACAAGTGCTTTGCAGAACAGCACCACAGAGGTTGCAGCACAAAAGGTTTCAGGTGGTCTTAAATACATTGCTCTTCTGCTGAAGGAGAAATAAATCCCTCATTTTATTCTCACAACACAGCATTTAGTGTTTTGAATTAAGATTTTTAGTGTCAATTTGAAAGCTGACTAGACTTAGTTAAGGTTAAAAAATTCTACAAGAATGCCATAAAATTTTTAGTTATCACTGGAGAAGGGGCTTATTTTGATGTAATTTCACTTTTCTTTAAACCCCAGTAGAGACAGTTTCAAAGAAATGTTTCTTCTTCAATAAAAGGCAAACTGTATGAACAGGGGAAAAGTGAGACATAAGAAAAAAGTAAGAAATTTTAACAACCACTTTAAGTGTTTTTTGTGGCTCATGATTGCTAATAGATACATACTACCAGTAACATTCAAATTCAGGGTGTAGAGTTTTTTTTTTTCTTCTGAGAGCTTCAACGACTTCAATGATCTGTTTTTTTGTTGCTTTCAGTTTCAAGGAGGTCCTGTGGCGTTATCAGTGACATTACAGCACACTAGTCGTTGTAGTCCATCAAGAAGACGGTTATATTCCCTTTCTCCTGAGCAGTTATAAAAGTGGTAAAAACTTACAGCTTGTTACTTGCCTCTCAAGCTGTATACAGCAAAGGTGCACTTATTAAACATAGGCAATTCATATGACAAGAGAGGTATGGTATAATGAGGCAGTGATTTGGGTGCAAAACCTTTAAATAACTATTAATCTGTGTTTTCATTGGGATTTTTAAACTTCTGAACAAGAGACTGAACTGCTGTGTGTCAAGTTGCAAGGCACATTTTTAGGCCAAATTATTATACAGTTCATGTGCATGCATATGTAAATGTAGGCAGAGTATCAATTACTACAGTAGCACTCAGAGTCAAGCAATCATAGTGTTTCCCTATGGTTTTGCACAGCATAGCAAGTTCTATTTAATTTTTAAACGGGGATGAGCATGATTTGTACATCTGGTAAGCTGGAAACTGAGATACTGGGCCAAGTCAAAATTCAGAATGTCAATTAAGCTACTGAGGAGTATATGACACTAGTATTTTTCCATGTTAGAATATTAAGCTTCAGTCTTACTTCTGCACAAAAATGCTCCAAGCAACTAAAGCTGGCTTTTTAGGCGTGTACACTGCCACAAATCGAAGTAGTCCTTCTAGGAGGTCTACTGGCTGATGGGATTAATTGAAATTTGCCATTTTCAATCATGTGTAAATCTGCTATGACAAGACACAAAAAACCCAAGGTAGCACAAAGGCCTGTTCAGCTACCCAGACGTAAGATTTTATGTAGTGCATAAGTCTCCAGCAGGTCTGGACTGCAAGTCTTCCACAAAAACACAGTCCTTACTGATCTTTGTCAAACTACTCTTCACTTAATTTCAATATTTCTATCTGAATGTAGATAAAAATACCTAGCTTAATTTATCAGAAACACAGGAGAAAGTGTGAACAGGCACTAATAAAGGCCTAACCAGAGCCAGTCTCTTCCCTCACTGAGGCATATAGCCCCCTTGTCTCACAGTCTGTGGGAGGTAACTTTTCGGCATTTCATCAATTGACAGTGGATTTCCTCCCACGGTTTCAGGTCTCACAGTTTGTCCTTCAGTACTTGTCTGTAAAACATCTGATACAGCAGCTTCCTGGGTATTTTTTTCCAGCCCAAGGCCCAATGGCTCTGAACTCTGACCTGAGATCTGCAGTTGTGCAAATCCAACAAGATCCCCCTCATTAGCAGGAATAATTTGCTTTGTTCTTTCAAAGCATGGCCTGTCTGTGTTGGTTTCATCCTGACCACCATTTTGTTTGAAATACTGCTGCCTCTGTGCTGTACTGTCACCTCCTCCACTGTGATCCTCTGATCTCTCTTCCGAATCTAGCAGTGGCTGAGTCGACTCAGACCTTGAAAAGACTTGTACAGGTGTTTGGTCTCTGTAGCCATTAAGTACCACAGTTGAATACTGTACAGTGCTTGAAGTGTTTTGTGTAGTTTCACCTTCGTCACTGTCAGAGACACTTTGCCTAGGAGAAGACATGCACGAAGATCCTCCGATACCACTGCTGTGCCCTTCTGAAGTACTTTTTTCTTTTTTAAGCAAGTCAAAGGGTTTTAGATCTTGTTCTGAAAAAGACTTCTTGTCATCAGCTTCTATTTCTACGACGCTTACATCTGTAAAGCTGCCTTCTGGGTACATCTGATCTTTGGAACTAAAGTTATGCTGAAAGAAAGACATGGATGTGCCTAAGAGGAAGGTTATGTTAAAAATCAAAACCACCGTTAAATACCTGAATTTTCATTCTGTAATTGTTTTCAGTTTCTTCATGTAAGTTTTCCCCTTACTAAGCTGGGCAGTATCTCCCAAATATCTGTTACAAGATGGAGGATGTAGCTTTGTTTCCAACACAAAGTCTTTAATTATGCAGCTATTCTAAAACTGTAGTGGGTGTGCAAGCTTTGCTCTCATTTTAATTATTCTTAAGAACTGTAAATAAAGAACCATTTGCTGTGCAGCACAGGAACATTCTATACTGAAAGCCACACGTACATTACTTCCAATAATGCATTCAACACCACTGCTTCATGGAAGTTAGCCGCAGTTTATTGAACAGAATTTGCTATGTTGTTCACCCTACATGGGGCATAAATTTTGCTGCCACCTCCTCATCCATGACGAAAGGTCTTAGAGCTTTCTTTCTCATTCATGACTTAAACGTGCAAACAAGTCACTTCAGGGTTTTAAGAACGGGAATCATGAATTCTTTTGCTTAATCCTGATTTCCTGTGGGTAAGATAATTAGGACTTGACCCTTCCAACTAGTAAACTGAATATAATTCACAATGTTAAAGCCTGCTCCACGCTATGAACTTGTGCTAAGGGCCATGCGTTTTTAATACTGAATCTGTTGATGCAATAAAGTCTAACTGTATCGTATCACAACATCATGAAACTTAACATCCAGGGCTTTTTTTCCTTGAAATTCACATAAGCTAGAGACAGAAGACTCCCACTGGTTAGTTTATTTGAAACCTTGTGGACTAGGAAGATACAGGATGCAGAAAGATGAGTATTACCTTAGCTGGAACTTGAGGCGACCATTGGGCAATGTTACTCTTGGATGGATCAGGGACAATAGGCCAGATATGTTTTTTAATTCTGTAAAGGATTAAAAACGGAATAAAATTACAAGATGCACTCCCCAAATTCCTATGTTGATAGCAAATACTACATAATCCAGGACACCACTCCCTTACACAGCAATTTTGCGAGTATTTATTTCCAAATAGGAATGTTTCCTGCACTTCTTTACATCTTTGTAGGAAACTGTAGGGCTTAGTAGAATATTGCACTGCACTTAACTCCTCTAAACATTAGATGTAGCCACCCGACATAAGGCAAACCCACAAATGGTAACGGTTAGCGAGGGATTTTCAAATTTATAGCACTCTAGAACCTACAAAGTAATTATTTATGTAAAGTCTATGATGCATGTCAGTATAAAAATACACTTAAAACAACTACGAATATCACAGCTGTCAAAATTTAAGCCAACTTCATAGCTAAAAATAAAGTGAAAATACTGGAAGAAAAACTTGCTTGGTCTTTTGTAACTCTGAACTCCTAAGTTTAAGAATGTAATAACCGTTACTTCACAACAGAAGTTTCTGTTGATAAATCACCCTCAAGCAAACTAACTTTGAAACTGATGCATCTATCCTGCTCTTTATAAACAGGCTCCAACAATAGATCCTCTGTAGGAGAACTCTGGAGAACATTGCAACATGGGCTTTTCAACTGACATCCATTAAGAACTGATTTTAGAAACAGCATGGAGGTCGTAAGGAAGAGGGCACAAAATGCTGTCCTTACATAGAAAGAAAAGATAATTTCCTGGGGACATGGGAGAGATGCAACTCCTTGCCAGGGAAAACACTTTGGCAAAAAGCCACAGACAAGAGCTCTGGGATAGAGAGAGGAGGAGGCAGGGTGTTTCCCAGCAGACATTAAACAGAGTTTGACTAGAGACGTTAGATATCTGCCTAATTTTTTTGACTGTAAAGCTTGAAGTTTGCTAACAGTGTAATTAAATAGCTCCAATACAGCCAGCAAACAGATCTTCCGTGCTTCACAAACTAGGGGCCATCATTCCACTCTCATATGATAACGAAGAAAACAACACAGTCTATCCTGATCAAAACCTAACAAACTTAATTCTGACCAACTCCAGCAAGAAAAGCAGGGATTTCCCTGCAGGACTGAATCACAGGACATTTAGTTTGTGTGCTAATCATTAATAGTAAAAAATTAGTATCAGAATAGGCCCTGATTTCTCAAGGAAAACACAAAAATGTTTATCACCAGTCAACGTATGTGTGTTTTACCTTCTTTTTCTGATCTAACTGCAGAAGATTTACTTGTATTGAACTGCCATCTCTCTCATGCCCAAAATACCAAAATCAGAAAAGAAAGACTTCATTTACACTTACAGGTCACGTTTGTTGAAGCAAAACAAAACTCCAAGGAGCACAATCAACAGGAACGCTAGACAAACAGGTACAACTATGGCTTCAATTTCTCCTTTCCCTGAAGAAAATGAAGAGAAGCAGTTATAGCTCACTTTGACATTTAAGGAACTCTGCAGCAGCAAGCACTCCCAAAAGGACAGGGAAAATCTGAAACTGAATACACCCACAGTGCTCAGTCTTGGCTTCACTTTCAGAAGAATTTCTTACCATATGAAGAGCCTGTTGGTGAAACCACGAAAAGCTCTGTCCCAACAATCTAACACCTTACATCAACAAAAAACACAGGTTGCTCTAGAGGCTGCAGTACTGACGGAGCAAGTAATTTTACAGTTTGGGCAGATATGACAGCAACATCTATTTGAATTCAGCTGTGGTCCAGGTGTTTCAGTGGCTAAAAGTGCCATAACCGCATCACAGTCAAATAAGTAACGTAAGCAGAGTCACTAGGCATCCATTGGTTTATTCTGTACACAAAAATACCCTCTGCCTGCAAACACTTAAGGTTGCATTATTGATCTGTATTCCTTCCAATGTTACACACATTCTCAAGCAAATCTCACAGAATGCTTAGTGAAGAGCAACACGATACAAAAAACCCCCAAAAGACCCCCTGCTAAATCTAAAGAAGTGCTTTCTACAACTAAGTTCAGTTATTGCTTTTACCATGACAAACAGGAAGCACTCTCTAAAGCTGAACATACAATAAATTAACTTTTCAAAATCAGTGTCTGCAGAGAATTGTAGCAAATTTTAACAGTGATGTGAATGGGAATGAAGAACCTGAGGAAGCCCTGTAAAAATGGCTTATGCTGATTGGCATCTAGATTAGCAGATCAACATCCCAGCACACTTCTGCAGCTTCTCAGGACACCAGCATCAGGATAATAAATGCAAACCTACCTTCAGATTAAAACAAAGACTCTGGACTCTAAGATCAAGGTAGGAGCCATCAGACACCAGAAGAGAAGACAAGGGCACCAAGTAAATCCTAACTCCTCAAAGCTGGGCAAAAGAATACTGAAAACTAAAGTATACACAAAAACACATTCAAAACCAGCACGTTTGCCAACACAAAAGAACAATCCAGGAGACCTGCAGAGGATAGCTTGTCCTCTGTACAATCAGAAGAAACCCTGACTAAACTACCTCTTTGTGACTGAGTACTAGATAGACTACCTGGGCATCATGCAACTTTTGAGTATAACTACAACTGAAACTTTTTTCTTTTAAATAAAATTGCCTTCCCCTCCTGTCAGACCTTGCACAGAGCCTTGCTACACTGTTGCAACATTACTTCCTACTTCTACTAATTGTGCCCCTTCCTTACCAAATTTTTGTGTAGTAAATGTAAAATCAGGACCACTCCTGCCTCCTTCATCTGTGTAAGCCATCATTCGCACAGTATACAGTGTGTCACTGGTTAGAGAAGAAAGGGTATACTCCGTCTTGGAAGGGTCCACTGTCACAGCTAAAGAGAGGAAAAAATTTGTACTAGTTTTCTGTACAATTCATTAGATCTTCACAAATACAGTAGCATTAGGACATCATGTCTTCAGATGTACAGGATAGTTTTAGTAGAATGCATAGCTGTGTGGAAAATACAACAAATACATAAGACTACAAACTGTTACAAGAAATGCTGATATTTGTTTGTTTCTGTTTGAATGTTTGAATTTAGTCTCTTTCTTGATGGGTGTTCTTTTCTCCCCCAGAATGTAGCTACAAACTAAACTAGTAGTAAAGCTGAGGCTTAGCGGTCTCTAATAAGAATATATGGCTAACTAGAATTAGCTAGTTACTAACTAGAAAAAACATGGTTAACTAGAAATAGTAAGAAGTAGGGCAGGCATAACTAATTGGCCTTTCCAATTTAAGCAAATCTAAAAAAAATTTTTTTAACAGTGGTAGCTCCCCATCTTGTGCTGCAGGTCATACACACTACTGAGAACTAACATGCCCTTCAAACAAGATGTTTTACACCAGTAATATATTGATCTAAAGCTCCATGAGGATTAAAAATTGCCCCCCTCCCCCCTTGCTTTTTAAGGCTTTATCATAGTTAAATGCAGTCAACTCCTTTACATCTTGAATGGTCTAGCTTCATCTTGCTATACCACCAGCTTACCCTGAATTTAGATACAAAGATGGGAGCACAAGACCTGCAAATCAGCTTCGAGAAACTAAACTCAGTACCCTGTTCCACACAGACTGACTGTTCTGAATTCTTTATTACGACTTCAGTTTGGTATGGAGGATAGCTATCCTCAGTCATCATCTGTATGTCATCAAAACAGACTGTCAGCCACACTCAATTCTGTAACTTTTTTTTTTTGAGGAACATGTGTTAGTAAGAAGACAGATGGAATACTTCAATGCCACAAAGCACTTCTCTGCTTTCTGTTACCTGTTTCATTTCCATCGATCGTTTTGTAAAGTATGGTGTAACTTCTGATAAATCCATTTTGCTCATCCACTGTGAGATGGTTCCATGTTAAAACCGCTTCAGCTTTTCCTACTTTTTTTGTTTGAATGGTCGGTCCTTTTGAAGGACCTGTAATGGGAGATGAAGATTAGTTTCTGTTGGTCACCCTCACATCCACAGAAGCAGTGTATTAGTGAGCACTGAATTGTTACGGCATAAAAACTTCGAAGGAATATCTGGACTAACTCATCTGCAAAGCACTATTTTCAGACAACACAGCAACTCCAAAGATGTTTTAAAGGAGAAAGCTCCAGGGAAAAAAAAAAGAAAAAAAAAAAAAAGACACAAAACTGAGTAATAAGCAGATCACCTGAAATCACCAACTGAAGTTAATTAGTCTTGGCTTTATACTTGAAATTCAAAATAAATCAGCATAGAAATAATACTATACCAATAAAATAACAAACTCATGCCAATTTATCTGCTAAAGTTGGAAAAAG